TACTAAGTTTGGAGTGGTTCATAATACATCAAAAGTTATGAAATACATCCACAGTGGTGACAATTAACGTGAAGAAAAGAAAAACCCTGATCCTTTATCACCATAACAAAATAGAAAAAGTTCCCATCTCCATACTTGTAGCTTTAGGTTTTTCTAACAATAGCATAAGAACAGCATGACAGGCAGCAAATCAAGCCCTCAGTTTAGTGGAGATGCAGTGCTACTCTCCTCTAGCTCTCCTTTATAGTTTTCCTGGAAAGAAAGAAACTCCAACTGCCACCATGCCAGGAATTGCTTTCAAGGAAAGACGGTGACGCAGGGGAATCTAGAAACTAACTCATCTAGCTTCCTTTTAGCCTTCTTCCAACTGAAGTCTAGATCTGAAGTTTGGTTCCTCTTCTTTTTAAAGTTACCAATTAGAGGTAATCACATATTACCCCCGTGCTGGGAAATGCACACTACCCAAGATCTTTATGTACCTTTTTCCATGATAAATGTGCAAGGCAGTTAATGTAATCTAGAAAATTAAGGATGATTTGTTTTCAACTATGATTTGGGTTTTAACTGAAAGATGACCACAGTTTTTCCTTAATCGTGATTTTAACGTTCCTGTGATAAGAACACCCACTGTTAACATTATTAGTTAACATTACTCTGGAATTTCTAGCCAATCCTGGCATAACATGCAGGAAGGGAAAGTAAATGTTCATTACTCATAGATATTATCATTAGATATCAAAAAGCTCCATAAAATCAATTCTTACAATTATTGAGAATAAAGGGCTCGGATTTCATATAAATATTTTTAAAAAATATCTTTCAAGTATGTCAGCAAATATGAGTCAGAACATAGAAAAAAATTTCATTCACAATAACAATAAAAAACAAAATAACCATGAATACCCATAACATGAGATGTAAGGTAAACACTCTACACTACTCTACAGAGAGGGGTAAACAGTCAGAAATATTAAAAAAAAAAAAAAAAAAAAAAAAAAAACGCTAAACAATAATGTGATTCTGATGCAAAAGTAGAAAGATGAATAAAGCAGAATAGGAACTAGGCAATCAGTCCAGTATCCCAGGATTTAGTATATTATAAAAGGGCTATCACATATCAGTGGGAAAGGGAATAGTAGTCCTACTGGCGCTGTAACAATGGATTAGCATTTGGAAACAAAATCAGTTTTGTTCCTAACCCAACACTGTAAACAAAAACACACTTTACATGGTTCAGAATTAAATATAAAAATAGAGAAGAAAAAAAAAAGACAAAATGTAGGAGCATCTGTATGATAAAGATATTAGTAAGCCTAAAAGCAATGAGTGAAAATAAAGAGAAGGTGGAGGAATTTTTTTTTTTTTTTTTTGAGACAGGGTTTTTGTCACACAGGCTGGTGTGCAGTGGCATGATCTCAGCTCACTGCAGACTCCTCAACCTCCCAAGTTCAAGTGATCCGCCAGCCTCAGCGCCACCAAGTAGCTGGGACTACAGGTGTGTGCCACCATGCCTGGCTAATTTTTGTATTTTTGGCAGAGACAGGGTTTCGCCAGGTTGACCTGGCTGGTCTCAAACTCCTGAGCTCAAGCAATCCTCCATCCACCTTGGCCTCCAAAAGTATTAGGATTACCGGGGTGAACTACCATGCTGGTTGTAAAGGGATTTTTAGAAGAGTTTTTTGAAAGATCTGTATTTCAAAATATATAGAAACCAAATTAATAGGCACATAAATGGAAACTATGACAGAAAAGGGGATAAATCCAATACATGAGGGTCTCCCCCAAATCAGGAAAACACAAGGGTATATCAATAAATGGAACAGGGAAATATTTTCACAAAATTACAAATGGCTAACACTTGAAAAAAATCATTTTTCTTCATCATAAACACAATATATTAAGTATTTCCTCCTCTTCTTACAATTAAACTAGTAAATGTTAATAAGGACAGTCAACTTTTCTGGAAAATAACCCATTAACATGTTTAGAGGTCTTTAAAATTCATTTATTCCAATTCCTAGGATTTGTAACACTTCTAGGATCTATATTAAGGAATTCAGAAATGCTCACAAAGGTTTTGCACAAAGGCTTTCTTCTCAGTGGCTACATAATAAAAAACAGGAAGGAATCTATAGTCATATAATACAGGAAACATTGTACATCCACATATTAATCAATAAAAATATTTTCAAATAATTTTAATGATTTGGAGATGCTTATACTAAATTAATAAAATGGAAATGATGCAAATTGAATCTGAAATACGATGTTTTTCTATAACAATATGCAAAGAAGGGAAATATACTAAAGTCTTAGTGTTTTTCTGGGGGAAGCAGGGGTACAGTTGGTTTTAAATCTCTTCTCTATACTTACCTAAGCTTTTGAAAATGTTTTCTATAATGAGTATGTCTTACTTTAGTTATTTTGGGGAGAAATCGGATTATGCAGCAAAAATTTGTATTGAAGGAATCCACCTAGAAGAATCTTCATATACTCTTTTCCAAATTAGGAGAAGCACTGCAGCAACACTGTTTATTACTGATATCCAACTTTATGAAAAAGTAACCTGAATAGCATAACAGCAACATAATGTAATAAAGTGCCTTTTCAGTATGTGTTTAATGATACTGTTGCCATATGACAACACTGCTATTTTTAAAACAACTATATGTAACCTTTTAGTCATTTTACAATGATTTTACTTAAAATCAAGTGACAAAATTGGTATAATTATTGCATTTGGCAGTATAGTTGCATTTGAGGTAAGTTCATATTAAAGTATATCATGTAATTTCATTTGTGTCCATTAGAGCTTCTTAAAAAAAGACTGATTTTATGTAGTTACTCTAGTGACTGCCATTAAATGCACTCCTCTTTTTTTAAACTTTCACAATAAGTTACAATACAAAGGTAAAAAGCGTACATAAAACACGGCAATATGTTATAAGCAAACACTTAAAAGCTTAAGGGCTACCCTCTTATTGAAATGCCTAATATTTCAAATTTAAAAGAGAGGTAGCTAAGCAACACTGTACTTCCAATTGCAAATAGTATTTTGTTTCTCCCTCCATGTTGCTAGGAGAACATTACCACATAACTTTCAAAATAGTTAAGAGAGCACAGATCTAAGTATTAAAATTATGTAAAAAAAAAAAAAACTTAGGATTTTGAAAACTGTACACACTTATTCGGAAGCAAATGGAAAATTTCCAAGGTTTCAATGAGATTCTTAAAGTATAATGAGCATATCAGTTCAGTTAAATTGTATTTTAAGGAAAGAAAGTATAAAACAATCTACTAAGGTTATAGTTATAATTATTTCAGAAAATAGCTGTGTTCAACTATTTAATTAGTGGTAGTTTATTAATATTTCCAGTCTATATCCTTTATATAAAATACCATTTGTATTTTTCAAATTATATTAATAGTATAAGTCAAACTGGTAGGCAGAATGTAAGACAGCTTCTAAGATACCCTCAACCTGGGATACATGCCCTATATAATACCCGTCCTTTGAGTCTGGACAACACCTGTGAATATGATGGACTATCACTCCTATGATTAGGCTGAATTATATGGCATATGAGGGATTCTGAGGATATAATTAAGGTCCCTAATCAGTTGATTCTCACTTAATAAAAAAGGAGATTATCCAGAGCATAAGGAGAGAGGTGGGAAATAAGGCACTGAAATAATCAGATGAGCCCTTTAAAAGGAGGTCTAGGTATCAGAGACTGAAGTTGGAAAGACAGATATATTCGAAGTAGCCAAGATGCTCTCCTGTTGGCCTCCCTGAATCAAGCGGCCAGGTTGTACAGCGCAGTACAGACGGAATGGCAGACAGCCTTTACAAGTGATTGACACCCTCGGTCCTACAAACACAAAGAACTGAATTCTTTTAATTAGTAGGCTTGGAAGAGAACCCTCAGCCTCAAATAAGATGACAGTCCTGGTTGACACCTTGATTAAAACTTTGTGAGACCCTGAACAGAGGAACTAGCTAAGCTATGCCTGGACTCCACTCATGGAAAGTGCGAGATAATAATGGTTTTAAATCACTAAGTTTGTTATACACCAATAAAACTAATTCACAAACAAATCTGCCAAACCTGGATGAATAAACAATACATGAACAAGACATGAAACTATTTATTACATCTGATACTAAAAAAGTATTCAAGGAATCTACTTGCATTGTTGGCAGAGTTCCTTGGGTGGAATAACACAGTTATGACATTAACTTTATGTTTTAAAAAAATAGAAGTAAAGAAAAATAGCTGAATTCTTCCTAGTCTTCCATACCTATTTATTATTCTCTAAGACCTACCTCAAATTTCACCTCCAGATTAAGTCTATTCTCATACCCCAGTAAGAATTAATTTCTTCTTTTCAGGGCACTGGTGATATTTGGTTTATTATCTCACACGACGGATTAATGACGGATTAAATTAAATGTTAATATATGGGTGTCAGTCTACTACATTTTGATCTGTTAGTGATACCTATTTTTGAACCTGATCAGGCCCTCACAAGCTCTGGATACAACAGGCCAATTTGTCTTAGTTATGTATTATTTTCCTCTTGAAGAGAAGAAATATAAAATATTCAAATATAAACATCATCTATTTAATGCCAATTCATTAATGTTCTTGGTTTTAGGATTTAAGGAAAAATTAAGAATTGTAGTGATCACTTGTATAATCTACTTTAGGATTCCACAGTGAGAAGTCATAAGTTAAAAAATATTCTTTTGGCCAGGTGCGGTGGCTCACACCTGCAATCCCAGCACTTTGGGACACCAAGGCAGGTGAATCACGAGGTCAAGAGATCGAGACCATCCCGGTCAACATGGTAAACCCCATCTCTACTAAAAATACAAAAATTAGCTGGGCATGGTGGCGCACACCTGTAGTCCCAGCTACTCGGGAGGGTGAGTCAGGAGAATCACTTGAACCCAGAGGCGGAGGCTGCAGTGAGCTGAGATGGTGCCACTGCACTCCAGCCTGGCAACAGAGTGAGAATCCATCTCAAGCACACAAAAAACAATTCTTTTAAAATCATGTAAAAAATAGAATTCCAATGGAGGAGGTTAAAAGACTTTCCAATTGGGCAAAGTAACTACAGTTGGTGAAAACATTCAAAGTTGGCAGCAAGACCTGTTGTGGTATTCCATTCAGTGGATCTCATTTCAATGTATTACTTCATTGTGCAATTAATGAAATCCAAGGATCTCCACAGGAGTGGCATCCACTGAAGAGGCATCCAGGCTTAGTTTCCTAGTAACCACTCCTAATTTTTTGAATTCTATTATATTTCTAGAGGCAACATCCTCCAATATTGTGAGTGGCATGCTTTAAAACTGAAGATTATGGATGAAATTAAATTTGCAAGTCCACTGACCTTAAAATCGTGTTATTATACTGGATTATTTAGGTGAGCCCAATAGTATCACAAATGTTCTTCAGTGTGGTAGAGGGAGGCAGAAGAGGAAGAACAAGAGCAATGACAATATAGCTTTTACATTCAAATGTCCAAGAGCTCTTTCTTATACAAAGAAACTTTTTTGTTTGTTTTATACCATCCTAGTCTTCTTTAGTATATAAAATAAGGGTCAGATGGCAATGACATTCTACCTTTAATTTACTTTGAAGAAAGTAACTCTCATCCTAGGATTCAACATTGAGGGTGAAAGAGGGAAGGAAGCAAGAAACCAAAGTAAAGTCCAGTTGTTTGTGTAAATGCCCTTCAATTTGGATCTTTCTGATGTTCTCTCATAATTAGATTCAGCTTATGCATTTTGTTTGTTTATCAGAAATACTTTGTAAGTAATACTGAGTCCTAATTGTATCACATTATGATCAGTTTGTTCCATTATTGGTGATGTTGGCTATGGTGGCATCCTTCAAGTTATAATACAATAAAATTACTATTTTTACTCTTTATAATTGGTAAGTAATTTATGGGACAATAAAGATTTTCTTTTCTACTCAAAAAATGTAAAATAATTTGAAGTTCAAAGTAAATGAATATATTTTTTAGTTCTTAACCAAGAAAAATAACCCACAGTCCCCTCAAATAAATAATAAAGCTTCATTTATCAACAGTGTCTATCAGTGTCTGTTTAGGGGTAATCAGAGTTATGCTTCCACCTATGACGGATTAAATGCTAAGGAATTATCTGCTCATCTTGAACAATTAGAACGTCAGACAAAAGGTAATAAACAATGGTTTTCAGACATTGGACAATTTGTACCAGTTTTCTGATCCCTGAGAAAAAGGAAACAAATGAGTCCTTTAATTGCCCCATGCTCATTGCCTGTAGGCAGTTTCCAAAATACAGCACAAGGAAAGAGACCCAAACACAGCCTGGCAGTCTTGCTGAGTGTAAGAGACACAAATTAGAATTCAGGGAGGTTTAGGTGGTTAGAATTTGCAGGATAGAAGAGGAGGGAGCTGCACAGAAAGAAATATACGCAGGAGCTCCAGAGATCTGCAGAGGAATATACTTGCATTTTTGGCAGAGTTCTAATCTATGCATGCATGACAAGAAACTACCTATAGCTGGTAGAAAGGAAAAAATATCAAAAGGCCAAACAATTCCCAAAGCTCCTTCAGAGTTGGGAATTGTTCATGTACACACTTAAAGAAATGGACAGACCTTGTAAGATACAAAAGCATCAGGTCACAGCTTATAGTGAGGCTAAATCAGGATAGTGGGGCTATCTAAAAAAAAAAAAAAAAAAGACTGCTCTAGATCTGTCGGTAACAACTTAAAAGCAATTCTTAAAGTGATCAAACTTACCCTCAAACAAAATTCATCACTCACTATATAAATAAAGCAAAAATCTAAAGTCCAACAGCTAATAGCAACAAAAAAACTAAAAATATCTAGCATCCAACTTAAAAATCCAGGCATGCAAAGAAGAGATATATGACATACAGCCAGGAGGAAAAACAATTACTAGAAAAAGACTCATAAATAAAAAATGAAAAAGATGATGATTTCAATGGACAGGGATCTGAAAGCAGATATTTTAAATCAAATGTAAAGAAAAACATGAACATATGAGGAATATTTAAATAAGACCCATATAAGATCTTGAGATAAAAAAATATGAAATTTCATTTCATATGAAATGAAAAATACATTGGATGGAATTAACAGCAGATAATACACTGGAAAAGAAACATCAGAGAACAAATAAAATAGCAATAGAAATTATTCAAAATGAAGCACAGAAGAGAAAGGGCAGGGAAAAAAATAAACAGAGCCTAAATAAGCTGTGGCAAATATCAAGCCGGGTAACATTTGCCTAATTGGAGTCCCAAGTAGGAAGGGAGAAAAATATCTAAAACAAATAATGACACAGGATTTTCTCGCCCCTTCACCAGACTCGCAACAGAGGCACCCTGTTTACTCGGCCACCATGCTCAACCCCTTGTGGGAGGGAGCATGTGAGCGAGCAAGTGTGGGATCTGACTGGCCATTCCGGGCACTGGCAGGAGAAAGCTCCATGCAAGGCCCACAGTAGCACCCAGGTGAGGGTGCCCATGACCCTGAAGCCCCAGAGTGGGTGTTATAGTGTTCTCTTAGTTCTCCCTCTGTAGACAGTGGTGTGTTAGCAGCTCAGCTGGCCCCTTGCCTCAGTGCATGGAGCAACGGGGCGACTGCCCTCTACCAGCAAGGGTAAAAGGCTGGTGTCAGAGCCTTTCTAGGTACCCACGCTTGGTGGGTCCTGAGCTCTTGTCTGGTGTCCAAGAAGAATGAGGTCGTGTAGACAACTGAAGGACGGTGAGGTGGAGAATTTTACTGAGCAATGAAAATGGCTCTCAGCGGAGAAGGGAGCTGGAGAGGGGACAGAAAGCGCACGTCACCTTCCCTGAAGTCAGGTTATCTCTCCCTGAAGTTCAGTCCTATCCCTCGAAAGGGCACGTCACCTTCCCCGAAGTCAGGTTATCTCTTCCTGAAGTTCAGTCGTATCCCTCGAAGTCCAGCCATCTCCCTCCTTATCAACTGAGTCTGGGATCTTTATAAGCAGAGGATGGGGGTGGGGCAGGCCGTAGGTAGTTTTGGAAAAGGCAACATTTGATTGGTAAAAGGGCATTATTCAGAAAGAACCAACTGGGAGAGAGTAGGTAAACCTTGGGCCATGGGTTTCAGGCTGTTTGCTTTTTTTTGGCCTGAAGGTGGGGTTTCACTGGGCACCCATCCCTGTCTGCCTAGAATTTCTCTATCTCCTGCCTCTATCAATAATAGCTGAAATTTTTCCAAATTTCATGAAAACTAGAAACTATCAGATCCCTAAAGCTCAACACCAAGCAGAAGAAACACAGAGAAAACCACACAAAGGGATAGCATAATCAAAATACTGGCAATGACAGAGAATATCTTTAAAACAGTCAGAGAAAAAGGGATTTGTTCTTACAGAGCAGGGTTCAGTAAACTACAATACACACGCTGGACATCTGTTTTCATTACTAAAGTTTCGATGGAACACAGTCATACCCTTTCATTTACACATTATCTATTGGGACTTTCACACTATACCAAAAATTGAGTAGCTGTAACAAACACCATTGTGACCGACAAGCCTAAAATATTTACTATTTGACACTTTAAGAAAAAGTTTGTAGTTCCTTGCTACGGAGAAACAAAAATAAGAATGACTGAAGGTCGGCTGTCAGAAACCATGGAGGGCAGAAAACAATAGAAAGACACCTTTAAAGTGCTGAAAGAAAAAACTAAAAATCTGAATCTTGAAGTACAGGGAAAATGTACCACGTTAAAAATCCAAAAAGTACATTAAAACTATATTTTACATGATATCAAAAGAAAACCACCAACACACCAAAAATGAATAATGCTTGTTTCCAGTTATACAGATATTCCTAAACGGGCAAACAGTTAATGGGAAAAGTTTTAAAATTATTGTAACAGGATTTTGTTACTTTGCTACTTAAAAGGTAAATTCCAACTCCTTGTTTTTAGGCAGAATTTCTTTAACTTCTTTAATATGGATCTCTCAAGAGAATCATCACATTCTTTCAAGTGTAAAAGGAGGACTGGCATCCTCCTTCTGAGATACATAGGCTGAAGAACAAATCATTAAGCCTCCCACTGTGCTTAAATGAAATCACTCTTGGGATAAAATAGTTAATTTCAGTCAAATTAATTTTTTGGAACACTATTTGCTTGTATTAAAAAAGATCATAACATTCCTCATAAAATAAATTATCTAAAGTTTGAAAAAGTATTTTTAACAAAAGTAATCACTTTTAGTCATGGCAGTCATACAAATGTTTAACATATTTGTACAACAAAAGTGAATCTCATAATTACTTTTCCCGTACTCTACTTATAATGATCTTTCCCATGGATAAAGGCCCTCTATGTGGTTTAATCAATGACAATACCCTGAAACAGTCCTTTTCTGCTTCTATATACTAGTTGAAGACAGCATGCTAATGTTTATAGTTTATTATAATAATTACTTGATAATTTTAGTTATTCTAGATACAGCTATTTAGCATGAGGAAAATGTTTAACTAGCATCTACATATCAATATATAATTTATACATCTCTCTCAGGCAATGTAACAGATTGAATAACACTACTCTTTAAAAGTAGACATTATTTCACAAGACTAAGATATCTATTGGCATATTTTAAACTAGAAACACCTTAATTAATCAAAACTAGGTAACATGGATACTATTCTGTCTTCACTAAGTATTAATAGCCTTGGATATAGAACTGGTAAATAAAAAAGATACACAAAATCAAATAATTAAATACACTGATTAGGCACTGATAAATATATATGAATGTAGATAAAAGTAAAACAGTCTTTTAAAGGAAAATATGTGTTTAAGAATGATCAGAAATTATAATCTGAGATAACTGACATAATAATACACAAGTTACCCACCAAACATGACTGGTATGACAAAATGAAAGTTAACCCTGAATGTTAAAAATCTACAACTAAAGATATTGATTCCTTTAATATAAAATGTGACTTTTCTGACATGCATATACCAGTTTTAAAGTGAATGATAATCTTAACTCTTATCAGGAAGCACATTAAGGTGATTTCAGGTCAACTTAGATGGCAGATTAGATAACTCCTAGTTACATTATTTCGATCAGTTACAAGTCAGTATCTAAACTACTGCCAAGAATATAGCATGAGGCTGAAGGGGACTGTGTTTTAGTTTGTCTCTATCCAGTCAGTTTCTGTATCTATATGAGAAGAGATCCCCCGGGGCTTTAATTTCTTTTTTTCCAGTGATACTTCTGGTAATGTTTTTGGTGGATCCCTGGATTTCAGTGATGTTAAGATAGGCATATAATAACAAATTGATAAAAGTAACAATGTATTTTCCTGTTTTCTTTTATCAATTTGTTATTATATGTCTATCTTTTTCTTTCCTTTAACTAAGATGTTAACTTACCTTATTACATTGTAAGTCAAAACCATCCCACTAGAAAAACAGAATGCATTGGGCATGAGTAATTTCATTTATTTTCTTCACTGTATAATGCACCATTTTTTCCTTGTATAGTTTCTCTACCTTAAAAGCAGGTACAAATATATAGCTAGCGAACCAAGAAGCTCCACTTTTCCATTTCCTGGAGCTGAAAATGGCCCATTTTCTCACTTACAGTACTGCTTACCTCAACTTCTGGAAAGTCAGTATTTATTAAAAACCAACAATCCTCCAGCAAACCATTCATATGCCCCTAATACTATGGTTTACACTTCACCCTTAAAACAAATACAGTTAGAAAACCTAATAATATATCAGATGCTATGTGATACATTTTGGCATAACGGACAACAGGAAAAGAAGACATTCTTCATATTTGGCACATTTATAAAATTACAATGAATTTTAAAGGATTAAACTCAATTTAGAATAGTCATTATGCTTCTATCATGTCTTATTAAAGTCAAAATCTATTATAAAGCATATTTAATGTCTTTAATATTTGTAAACAAATTTTTAAAGAAAAAGAAAAATTTATTATATATTACTTCTGAAGAAGCATCAAAAACTTTTTTGAAAGCCTCTTTGTTAGTAACTAAGTTGATGAAGATGTAATAGAAAGGGAGTAAAGTTAATTACTACCAAGTATCTTAATATTCAAAGCAATACAAAGGGTCAAATGTCTAATATTCATTAGGGACGTTTGCGTTCTAAATGTGATGAACTCTGAATTACTTTGACTTGTGAAGATGTGTATCTGTCTAGTTGTTTTTAATTACTAATTGTTTTAGCTGTATGTAGCTAATTCTCAAGCATTCAAGGTCCACTCATAAGTTAATGCTTATCAAGGCCCACTCATAAGTTAATGCTTATCAAGGCTCTTTGACACTCACTTTTCTCACCACTGTGGACATTCCACTATGAGCTGCCCACAGTAGTGGGGAAGAGATTAAAAAAACAGTACAGGCAATCTTCAACCAGTGAATGAGTTATATTCTAAACATTCTCCTTATCATCAGTTTTTTGGAAATTAAAAATGATTTTATTGAAAATCATGTTATGAATGGTGGCTAGATTATCCAGATAGTCCACAAATGCCTATTAAATTCTGAAGGCCACTGTACCATTTAAACTACATGGAACCTCAGAATAGGTGACCACATAGCAGAAACTTTCTCTTTTCAAGTGAGCCATCCATAGGTAAAATTTTAAATAAGCAAAGCTAATCTTTAGCACTCTCCCCTATCATTTTTTGAACCCACATCTCTTCATATCTCTACATGTCTTAAACCCTCTTTGGGAAGTCAAGTGCAGCTGGGGTGAAGAAAGCAACTGCAAACAGAATTGAGAAGGTAACTCTCTTTAGGCCAGTATCTAAATAAATGATACTCATTTGCTGAAGAATTCTGAACTAAATCTGTTGATACTTATTCTTCCAAAATACATTTTCAATTAATCAGAACATGAATTACACCTGTTGATATCTCCTTCATCAAAATTTTCTGGAGACAAAGCCTTCGTGAAAAAATGCTCATAAGGAGGAAGTATACTACAGTAGTTAAGAAGATAAATTTTGGAGTCAAACAGACCTAGAATCAAATTCTGGCTATCCCACTTATGAGATGGAAGACCTTAGGCAAATTATTTAAACTATTCTGAACCTCAGTTAATTCATGTATAAAATGGGAACAATTTCATCAACGGTACTAGTTATTTTCGGATGATCATTATCATTATCAATTGTAAAATACGTTTTGCACCTATTTACAGTTGTACAACAAAAACGAAAAGAAACAGATGCTTCCTCAACTATTCTCAGTTTAAAAATCTTTATAAATTTGGTGAAAACAGGTATCTGTTTCTGCTTGGGAATACTTACCACTAGTGACACAATTTCCATTTCCATCATAGAAATTTCACATATCAGAAAAGGGATGTAATGACAAATTTGTAGGTGGACCAAACATTTTCAAACTTAAAGTTGATGATAATTATTAAAATGTTGATTGTCATTCTCAAACGGCTTTACCCTTGCATTTATCCCTTGAGAAGTGACATTTTTGGAAGGGGCTGTAGTAAGTTATAATATGAAAGTTGATGTTAATTTATATTAATTTAAAAACATATCTGATATTAAGAGATTAGTCCATGACCTTCAAAAAGTTTAGTTTTCATTACTTACCTCATCACTTGAATAAAAATAAATGAAAAATGTATTATTTTTCACTAGACATCAATTTTAAAGTTGCTATGGTTAGGGAAAGCTCTACATGATTTTAAAGCAATATAAGTCAGTCCTGAGGCAGACAGAGTGCTAGGGATTCAGCATCCTTTTGATGAGTTTCCAGATATTGATAATTCAATAGGCACATTTTTTAAAAGAAGGTGGCAGAGATTTCTACTTGATAGACATTTCAGTCAACCTTTAGTAAAGTTTAGCGGTAATGGGGTAGGTATTACTGTAACGGAAAAACACTAAAATGCCAAAATTGCAACAGTGGAACAACATGAAGAGTAATGACAAACAAAAACAGAAGAATTGAAAAATTACTGCAATCCATGTCACATAATGTAAGGAGCTAGAATTACACAGCCTGGGACAACATTTCAAACTGCAGAAAAGTGAAAAGAGATTCTCAACTATACATATTTTGAAATATCCCAATTACAAGAGTAAGAGGCTAATTATACAAATAAAATGTTTGTCTGTGGGCAGAGACTGCAAATAATTCAAATTACCTGTATTGGTCCTCAATCTGAGGTGGTACTATGTTCCAAAGGTGGGGAAGAGTTCAGAAAAGGTGTGGTCTTTTTTTTTTTTTTTTTTTTTTTTTTTTTCGGAATGCCACTCTATCTTTTTTTTTTTTTTTTTTTTTTAGCATCACAATGACTAAGCAGTGCTACTGGCAACCAGTAGTTAGAAGGACAAGGGATGCCAAACATCCCACGATGCACAGATCAGTCCTGCACAGTGAAAGAACTGTCCCATCCAAATACCTAGAATACTCCCACAGAGCAACAATGGACACACCAGGATACTGTACGAACTGGTTACATTGGAAAAAATGATCTCTAGGACTAAAAAGGAGTAACAAAGAACAGATGAAACAAGATTCTGCAAGATAATCTATGTTTTAAGCAAGAACCTGGCAGGAGACCCCAGTACTTCTCTCTAAGAAACTAAATCTGTAATGGATACATAGCTCTAATCTTTTGTGCAGCTTATCTTAAAAAAAGAGAATAGTAAGGTGATACTGTACCACCATCATGTGCAGTGTGCAGAGGGCCATTAAAAATAGAAATCTTGCAATCTACTAATCTTGTCAAAATATTAAAGGATTTGTAGGAGGCCTTATAACTGAAATAGGGGGAACCAGAGAAAGCCTAGAAGATGGTTAAGAACACAGTGGGGAAAACAACAGATATTTCTCCACAAAGATAAGGTATTCACTGATATATAACATTTGATTAAGTTAAAGTTTTTTAAAGCGTACACGGGTTTATGGCTTTGTTTACATGGAGCCTCTGTCTTAGTGGAGGGACCTAAATTTATGAAGATAAAATTGACTCATAATGGTGACCCCCAGAATTGAATCTCTCACACATCTTAAACCCCAGGCAAGCATCTACCAAAAGATTTCTAATCAAGCTGTTTAAATGTGTGTGTGTGCGCGCGTGCGCGCTTGCTTAATATAAGAAGCTGAGATAGTAAAGATAAATTTAGTGTCACAAATAGAAATAATAATCATCAGGACCAAGAACAGAGAGACTCCTGGGAGGTTTAAATTCAGTACTTAGTTTACTGAGTTCACACCATGCCTCTGTTGCTTTCATGTAAATATGATTACAGTCGAGTAATCATATTTACAGTCGAGTCATCATACTTACCATCACACATTTTCATTAAATAATTGTTTCAGTTATAACTATGTAACTTTTGAGACATCAAATATTGATAATATATCTTTTCTTGTATTAACATAACTTTTACCACTGAAACTAATAGTTGCTTCATTACCCTGTTCACTTAATTTTCTATGTCACTCTAACTAAATCTACTCAACTTTAAAACTTCTTTTAACATGGTCAGACACATTAGATAATTTGTCGCCATTCCACCGACTGCAGACACCCATCTTGGAGTCCTTCATTGTCTTGCTCCAATTTGTACTCTTTACTCTTCAAACTTCTACACAATTGTCACCTCAGAACGCACTTCACCATGAACGGGAATTTCACTAGCATCTCACCATGATGGCACAATCTCTTGTGCCTTGGATGATTTTCCCTCAGGATTTTTGGTTTGCTCTTTCATTGGATCATAGCTCAAGTAGCTTCTTCACAAAGGATGAATAAGAAAAATTATCTATTGAGACTTGGAATGTCTTTCCTATTTTATGATACTTACACCATAATCTGGAAATGAACAGAACCTTAAGTTGGAAATTATTTTCTCACATAATTTTGAAGACACCACTCCACTGCTTTCTGGTTTGAGGTTTGACTGGTATCTTCCGGGAGGAATTCCTCAATCTTCTGCTAATAAAATATAAGCCTAAATTCCAGTGTTCTGAAAGCTAAACAGGAAGAAGACACTTGGGAGGAAGACAAGAGGGTGTTTCTTTTTGGACCCAATCTCTGAGGTGCCTGGTACCTATCTTCCCAGGGTTCTGCAGTATAAACCACCTAGTTCTTACAGGACTCCAGCGTGATGGAAGTTACAGCTGAGCTTTTCCACTCTGCTAAATGTCAGAGGGTAAAGCATAAAAATGTCTTCAACCTGTCATGCTTAACTAGTTTATAAACATACTCGCAAATGTTGGTACCAATTACCACAGTGTCCTCAATTTATGCCTATTTATACACCCCTCCAGTAGTATTACTGCCTCAGGCATCACTGAGTATTACTACTTTTCATATATTTGCTTGAAGTTAAAAAAAAATGAAACTTTCTGATAAAAATAAACAATTCTAACATCATTAATGAACATCAACATGTTTTATCAGTTTATTATCCTCTACTATTTCAACTTTTGAGGCATGTCTGTGTGAGTTCTTTACGTAAGTTCATTAGGCTGTTCAGTTTTTTTCTTGCCATTCTGTAAGAGTTCTTTATAATACAAAGATGTTAATTCCACGAGGAAAATATTTTTCCACTTTGATATCTGCCTTTTCTTTCTTTTTGAGATAGGATCTCACTCTGTTGCCCAGGCTGGAGTACAGTGGCGTGATCACAGCTCACTGTAACCTTGAACTCCTGGGCTCAGGGTAACCTCCTGCCTCATCCTCCTGAGTAGCTACAATTACAGGTGCCCATCACCATGCCTGGTTAATTTATGTTTTTTTGTAGAGATGGGGTCTCACTCTGTTGCCCAGGCTGGTCTGCCTTTTCATTTCAATGTATAGACATTTTACATTTTTACATCACTTGAACCCAGGAGTTCAAGACCAGCCTCAGCAACATGGCAAAACTCCATCTCTACCAAAAATAAAAAAAGATTAGATGGGTGTGGTAGGATGCACCTGTAGTCCTAGCTACTTAGGAGGCTGAGGTGGGAGGATCACTTGAGCCCGGGAGGTCGAGGCTTCAGTGAGCCATGATTATGCCACCACACTCCAGCCTGGGTGACAGAGACCCTGCCTCAAAAAAATTTTTAAAAAGTAGGTATTTTTTTCTACTGAAAAATCATACACACTGTATCAACTACGCTGAGGGGCATTCACATTGTTTCCAGTTTGTTGTGGCCACATTAACGCTACTATAAATATTACTGTACTCAGATTCTTATACAGCAGTACTTTTCCTTATATATTAGAAGTACAAGCTAGATTCTCATGAGTGGAACGACTGTGTTGAAGAGTATGTATACAGATACTCCTGTAAGTCCTGATAAACCCATCATAAATTAAAAATATCATAAAGTTGAGAATGCATTTAATACACCTAATCTACCAAACATCATAGCTTAACCTAGCCTACCTTAAACATGTTCAGAACACACACATTAGCCTACAGTTGGGCAAAATAATCTAACACAAACCCTATTTTATAATAATGTCTCATGCAATTTACTGAATACTATATATGACATTAAACTTGTGACAGTTTTGCACCATAGTAAAGTTGAAAAATCCTAACTCAAACCATTCTAAGTCAGGGACCGTCTGTGTATTATATGTGAAGAGATGTTGTCAGTTGGTCATCTCAAGAGGTAGGAATAACCCGTATTTCTAACAACAATGTACACAAGTACCTTTTTCCTAGCATCTCTGACAGAAATGGGTGATTTTGATTTTTAAAATATCTTTATTGAGATCCAATCACATACCATAAAATTTACCCTCTTACAATGTAAAATTCAATGGTCTTAGAATATTCACAGAGTCATGCAATGATCACCACCAAGTTTAGGACATTTTCATCACTCCAAAAAAGAAACCCCGTATCATTAGTCAGTCCCCATCACCTCACCATGTCTCAGACCTAGGCACACATTTATCTGTTTTCTAGATTTGGCTATTCTTGACATTTTATATAAATGGAACCATATAATATGTTTTCTTGTGTGTGACTGGCTTCTTTCATTTAACATATGTTTTCAAGTTTCACTCACGTTTTAGCATGTATCTGTACTTCCTTTCCTTTTATTGCTGAATAATACTCTACTGTATAGATATGCTATATATGATTTATCTATTTATCAGTTGAACATTTGTGTTATTTCTACTTTTTGGCTATTAAAAATAATGCTGCAATGAATATCTATATAAGTTTTTGTGTAGCTGCATGATTTTATTTCTTTTGGGTACATAACTAGGTTGGAATATTGGGTCATATGGTAACTCTGTGTTTAACCTTTTGAGGAAATGTCAAACTGTTTATCAAAGTATTGTTTTAATTTTGCCAGTTTGATGAGCACTAAATAATTTCACTGAATTTGTAATGTGTACTTCCTCACTGAGTTTGAAGTTCCCTATTCTCATTCACTGGCCATGTCATTTATTTCTAAATAGATTTTCATCAATTTTTTAAATCTTTTTTCTACTGAGTTTTGTTTGCCTTTTATAAACATCCAAGAGTCCTTTGAATATTACAGATATTAAGGAATTTTCTGTTGTCTTCTTTGTAAACATATTTGTCTTGATTGTAACATTTGTCTTTTAACTTTGTGGAACCTGTGTCATATAAAATATTCCATTTTTGTGGAGCTAAATATATCTTCAGAGTTTCAGGGTTCATTAAGAAGTTCTTCTCTACTTCCAGATTATACAAGCGGTTGCCTATATGTTCTTATAAGATTTTTAATTTTTATTTTACATTGTCTTTATGAAAAAAAATTTACATTGCATATAGTATGAAATAGAGGCTTACCTGCTTTTCTACTGAAATAAAAATATATTTATCATATATTAAATTATCAAATATAATAAAAAAATTTTCTGGATTCTCTAGGATTCTGGTGTGTTTCAAGCCACAGGTCAGGACTACTTGTTGCTTACAACATCAGTTTAGTAGGCTTTAGCATTTAAAAAAATATAAAATAGAATACGAAAATAGAGTATATCATACGTAATAAGGACACGTGTGTGATAAAACCTTTTCTTTCTTTTAACATACACAAACATACACATCAAAGGTCATTATGCATATAAAATATTTCTTATCATGAATTAGAATCCATAAAGTTTGAAATTCACTCCTCCATGTGTTCCACTGATCTTCTTGTCTATTCCTTTGTCCATATATTTATCTGATTACAGATGCTTTAGGCTAATATTCTGATATCCAGTAAAAGAAGTGCCTCTCTTACATACTGTCTTTGGTTATTCTTGGACATTTGTTCTTCCACATAAATCATGTGGTCATTTTTTCCTAACATTAAAAAAGAAACACTTGTTTCTATTCTAATTAGAATTGCTAAATTGGCAGAATTTACACTTACACTTTCATCATATTGTTTATTTGGTATGTCTTTCTGTTTCTGAAACAGTACATTTCTATGATTCTTATTATACAGGTCTATGGTTTACTTGTTAAATCTAATTGTAATTATTTTATAGTTCTCTTCACTGCTGTGACAGAAAAATTTTCCCATTTTCATTTCTGTGTGTTTACTGCAAATACAGAGAAGCTATCAATTTTATTTAAGAAGCCAATTTTATTTGGCTATCTCATCACATTCTCTTATTAATTTTATTGTTCATAACTTGAGTCTCCTGGGTTTCCTAGGTATACAATCATATTTTCGAGGATGGCTAGAAAAATGGTAAATAATTTGACAGTATAAAATGGTAGTAGTGAGAATCCTATCTCCTGATTGTAAAAAGCAGTTTAAATATCACACACAAGAAATGAATTACTCAAATGACTGATACTCATTCCTCTCTCTTCTATTTCTTGTTTCTCCTTCTGTTTCAGCCTCTGTCCCTGCTTTGAAAGCTTCCATCTCTCCTGCAGCTTCTAAGTTGTGCTACTAGTGAGAGTCCTTGGCTTCTGGTGCCTGGGTAGTAGGGAAAAGAGGTGGTCCTGGCTTTCAGGGTACCATTAAAAATATGTTATCTATCCATTTAGAGATATGTATATGTAGTACAAGGCAAGATGCTAAAAGAAATATCAAGAAACTGAGACTGTCCAGAAAGATGATAAAATAGGATATATAAGACATAAAAATAAGTAATTCTATTTTAAATAGAAATGACATGTGCTCCAAAACAAGTATAGGTAAAGTATAAGATTATTTCTCATGAAAATAGTTACGGGGGAGATTATGCACTACAATAATGCTATAACTCAGATATAGATCAAAAAGCTTTTGTGAAACTAGCTGAACCTAATTATCACATGTATTACTATTCTCTTAGGAAAAAAGTTGCAAGCATTCATTCACTTATCGAGACGGTCCCACTCTGTCACCCAGACTGGAGTGCAGTGCCACAATCTCAGCTCACTGCAGCCTCAATCTGGATCCCAGGCCCAGGAGATTTTCCCACCTAAGCCTCCCAAGTAGGTGAGACTACAGGCACGCACCACCAAGCCCGGCTAATTTTCTGTATTTCTTGTAGACATAGGGTTTTGTTATGTCACCCAGGCTGGTCTTGAACTCCTGGGCTCAAGTGATCCACCCACCCTGGCCTTCCAAGAGGCTGGGATTATAGGCATGAGCTACCATGTGCCCAGCGAAAATTTGCTTTTAAATAATGGACTTATCAGTTAATTTCTGACAACATAACTCATACGTTGGACCGGCTAATGGTAACAGTACTTAAGTTGTAGTACTGTCAAAAAAGGGAAATAACAAAAGGAATAAATGAAGAGTCTGCTATTAACAATGACCTGTCCTGACTACTCTTTTACTGAGAACAGGATTCATTTTATTCAATAAAAATAAAATACATAAATTCCTATCATGTAAAATTTCTTAAAGATAGGTATTAAGTAAAATCAAGTGCTACTGAACTTTAATATAATGTTTGTAATTCAGTGTTAAAATTAACACAGTCTCTTGTACTGCCAAAAAAATCACAATCTAAAATTTTCACCAGGGTCAAAAATTCTTTATCTTGGAATTCACACAGTGTATAATAGCAAAATGCAGCTGTTACATAAACCAGGTAGTTTATTGGTTCATTCATGCTATAAAAATATTACTGACATTTCATCTGGTCAACCACCTTAAAGGTTAATTCTTGTTTCCTCTTTCAGATTTTATTCTAGGTGAACTGTTCTGGGCAGATTCTATTTACCTATTCTGAGCAAACCACAAACTGTTTCATTGCTCACTCTTACTGTTAAGAACATATTGACTTGCTGCCTGCTCTGCTGTTTAATTCATTTATGCTGAGAGTCAGGCATGAAGACAGAATTTTAAATGTGACATTTGCAGACTGTTAGGTCATTTAAGCTCTGACAACACTAGGGAATTCCTGACATATAAACTGGATCTGATTACCAAGCACAGACGAGCTGCCCAAAGGAGCAAATTTCTGATCATTTTTTGTAATTTCTCACAGAATTGCAATACTAAATTTTAATGTCAATGAAAAATATATATAGCCAACATTTTAAAGTAAAAGCCTCTGTTTGTTTCAATAAAGTTCAAACTGGCACTTCTAATCAATACATATCAGCTAAATAAAAATTATTTTGACAGAAAAAGGCATATGGAAAAACTCACAATAACAATCAACATTCATAACAATTCTGAGAAAGTCTGCCATTTAAGGGCTTTTAATATTTACTATAATATGTAAAGTTCTGAAAATTCTGCTAGGTCTAAAGGCTATAACTCTAGTCAACAGACCATTTAAAATTACTAGATTCTGGCCCAGCAGGGCAGAGGTTATATACTGTCAAATTATAGTACAAAGTCTAAGCTTACATACTTAAAACACTACCTTCTCAACAATTATAGTTATGTAGAAAGGATGATGAAATCATTATAATTGGAAATGAACAAATTGCCCACATGACATGCAGAATTACACTTCACAAGGGTTGACAATGGGGCGGGGTAAAGGACGTAGGGCAAGACTGTTTTCTCTTTTTAGTGACTCCAAAAAATTACACTCAATGATATTTTTGCAGCTCTTTTTCCTTGTCACTAAGTACTAGACACAATGGGTCAAAATGAAAGTTTTCTGAAATTAAATTTCGTAGTCAAATAATGCACAAAAGATAATCCTTATTTTATCCTATATTTTATGTAAGTAAGAATTCTGGTGTTAAACAGCAAGTAGCCTTTTAATATTGTGCTTCGAATGGGACTTTCAACTGTAATAGGGGTAGTCTAAATAGGGATAGACAGCCCAGAATGCCTTTCAGCTACAACACATTGATTCTGAAAACCCTAACAAAAGCAATTACTTTTCAGAGATTAAAAATCTTGTTTCTTTCAAAAGAATGAAATGAAACGCAAACCTGGTGTATTATCTGAGCTACAGGAAGTTGTTCAGCATATTTCAGAGGTTCCATTAATTCCTCATCCATCTGGTCTTCCTTATAGCTGGAAAAAGAGAATTTAAAAACACAAAGCTAAGGCAAATACTATTTTGAAATATGGCAAATATTTAAATATGTCAAATATGAAATATAGTAAAATGCATATATTTAAGTTTTTGAAATAATTGGTATTTATCAACAATCTTTGAAACGCTACCATTGAAAAATTTTAAATGACTATAAAGGTATTCAGACTACGTTAAGTAACTATGCAATAAAATTAGCTAACATCACTTAATGTTCTCAGATCCTGTCATTTTCTGAGACAAAAATATTTCAGTACACTCTGTTCAAAAGAGGGTGTTTCTTTCATAGCTCTTAAAGGTATTCAAAACCTGGCTCCAACCAAACTCAAGCCTCATCTCCAGCAACCCTTTCTCTACTTAACAGTCTACTGTTTTAGTTATATTTTACTGGCCAAATCCCACTGGGCCTTGCACCTCCAGGAGAGAGACCTTAGGAGAAATCAATCCTGCTGACATCATCTAGCCTCCAGACTGTGAGGAAATACATTTATGTTGTTTAAGCCATCCAGTCTCTGGTACTTTGGTATGGCAACCCTAGCAAACTAATACCTATTAGCATTAGGTATTTTTACCTCAATTAAAAAATAAACTAAAGTAAATACTCATTGACCAAAAGAAAACACACACACACACACACACACACACAACTTGCTTTAAAGCATTTCACAGTGTATCTTTTAAAAGTTTATTCACTTTATGTATAAAAACACATACAGGCTGGGTGCGGTGGCTAACAGCTGTAATCCCAACACTTTGGGAGGCCGAGAGGGGTGGATCACTTGAGGTCAAGAGTTTAAGACCAGCCTGGCCAACATGGTGAAACCTCGTCTCTACTAAAAATACAAAAATTAGCCAGGCGTGGTGGTACACGCCTGTAGTCCCAGCTGCTTGGGAGGCTGAGGCAGGAGAACTGCTTGAACCCGGGAGATGGAGGTTGCAGTGAGCCGAGATCACGCCACTGCACTCCAGCCTGGGAGACAGAGCAAGAGTCTGTCTCAAAAAACAAACCAACAAAAAAAACCCACAAAACACGCAAACACACACATACACGCACACAGCAACAAAAGAAAAAACAGATAAACTCTATAGACATCATCAAATTTTAAGACTTTTTTGTTTCAAAGGACACAATTAAGAATGTAAAAACAGTCTACAGAATGGGAGAAACTCTTTGCAAATCATATAACCAAAAGGGGACTTATATTAATAAGAATACATAAATACAACTCAAGAATAAAAAAGCCAACAACTCAGTATTTTTCCTTCCTTATCGAGGACATTCTTAAGTGCAAATGATGTATTTTTGTTTGTTTCTTTGCTACTGTGGTCAGCAGTGGGAAAAATACAGTGACCACTTATGCACTTTGGTTCCATGCCTTGATTCCTGTTAAGGCACCAGCAGTTTTAATAAATATCTTCTGAAAAATTAAAAATTAAATCACCGACATTAATTCTAAGAGTATAAAAGAAATATGACAAAGTCACTCTTCATTGGTTATTCCAAAAATCTAAAATAACAATGTATAAGATGAAATACATTTTTTTTTCTCACAAAATGTCTCTTAGTCAATATAAAAGATATTCTTTAGGTATACAAAAATATTTGAAATCCGGCAATTTGTTTTGAATAACTTTTTATAATGCCATGTAGCTGTTATGAAAAATTCCAAACACATTTCTATATTTTTTAGATTATTTTTGCAGGATCATTTAAAAGTGAGCTGCAGATACCATGACAGTTCACATCTAAATCTTTCAGCAAAATATTTATCAACCAAGGATATGTCTGAAATGTTTCTTAATAACTGCAGCACTTTTTCCAAATGCAATTCACAAGTAATCTTGAGTATCACTGTGGATATATGAGTATTTTACTTATCCAATGTTTCACAATCAATTAAAATGATTACTCATTTCTATAATTTCTTGAAAACATATTTCCACTGCTTTCTTGCTTTATTTTCATATCAAGAAGTGTGATGCTAAGTTGGTTCGATGTTAATTATTTTCATTTTTAATTATTTTTAATTTTTAAATTACTAATTTTTTGGCTTAGAAGGTCAGACGGCCTTTATTTTCCCTTTTGTTTTAAGGTCTAATACTATACTATATCTTAAAAGTTGATTGTTATAGATCAAGTTTCCCAGGTACCCGGCCAGGAGTCCTTTCAATATGGAAATTCAGATCTCATTTTATTTCAAAAAATGTCTTATTATAACTTTAAATACCACATCTGTTAATTTTCCACTTATTTCCTAGTTCAAGGTGTTGAACTAAATATATGGAAAATTCTCTCTTTCTGATCATTTTCATTTCTCTTATTTCAGTTTCATTTTCTTGGCTCTTTCTATTCTTTATGTCTTTTATTGAACTTCTGGAATATCTATTTTCCCTTGTCTACCTTGTAATTTACTTTTCATTTCTGAGATGATTTTTTTCTTTTTTCACCATTTACTTTCCTGAGTTCAGTCAACTGCTGTTTCACATATCTTTCTGTTTGTCCATTTCAATGGTGAGTTTTTGAATGCCTGATTCATGGTATCCTTTCATAATGCAATTGCTTGTTTAATACAGGTTATTCATGTTCAGATGTTTCATTTCAGTTTTCCTGTTTTGTAATTTTTCTTTGATTTCTTTCCTTCCTTTTTATTTGTGCTTTCATTCTGTGTGTGTGTGTCATTTACTAAGAAGGTCTGATTTTAATTTTGTTTTATACTTATTGTAACTTTGTAAAGGTGCTGGCTTCTTTTTCTGTTGAGGATTATTTGTATTGGCTTTTTCAGAATCAGCAGTAACAAGTTATCCTGCTATGGAGGGTGAAGGGAGGTAAGCTGATTTACTAGGTTTCTCAGTTCAAGAGCACCCTCTTCTGTGGCTTCACTGAAGTGTAGTTGCTTTAATAAGTGGCACTTTTTGTGGTGGGAGGGGCAGGATTTGTCTTAAAAAAAATTGTCTTGTTCCCGTAGTGCCCTTATCTTCAGTTGCTTTCTTTCCTTTCACCACCATGACTCCAAGGGACACCGCTGTCCCACTCTGTCCTTTGCAAGTAGTCTTCCATTATCCCAGAATTCATGCTTTCCCAAGATTGTCACCTAAGGTCATTCATACATTCTAAGCCCCATCTTGTAAATCATTATTAGTCAGGTCTCTGATAAACCATATATAATTCAGATAGAGAAAACTACAAATATTAATTTCAGTTTACATGTGGCAGCCATCCTAAAGGAACCTGGAACTTTTCTCCTGTGAAATGGTAAAGTTCTCTTTTCTTAAAGTCATCTAAGTGTTCCTTTTACTTAACATTTTAAGTCATTTCAGAAGCCCCCCTAAAAGAATGTTTTTTCCATGATCTCTTTCCAAGATCCTTTACTAAGAAAATCTATTTAAATAACTTAATAAGGGAGTAATTTCTACATGGAAAAAGCTGTATATTCCTTATTTTGCTTTACTATTTTTTAAAATAGAGTTTTTGTAGAAGATAACACAAGGTATTTACTTACTTTATAAAAGGATTTCGACTTCAATAGAGTCATACTACCATCTCAAATGAAAAGGCAATTAAAATACTGTCCAAATCCTCTGCATAAATAAAATTCTCCTGGCAAATTATGAAGCCTATGAAGTTAGTCTTTACAATCCCCTGTGCTTTCTAGTGTTTTCTATATCCTTTTTCTCTTTCATATCCAGTGCCCAAAAAATATTTCTCTTCTGTGCTATTCAAGCACCCTAAAATAACACTGTAAAATTATTTACTGTGTCCATACAGAAGGTTATCTCTAACTCAGAAAGAGTAAAGTTTATATTCTAGAGTGTCACACTGAGATCAGACAATTAATGTATAAAATTACATACAGCCAGGTACGATGGCATGTTCCTATAGTCCCAGGTACGTGGGAGATTGAGGAGGAAGGATCACTTGAGCCTAGGAATTAGAGACCAGCCCGGGTTATATAGTGAGACCCTATCACAAATAAATAAATAAACATAAAATTACATAGTTTATTTCAGGTTGAAGGCCAAAGCATCTTTCCAAACACTGGAAATAAAGCCAACAAACTGAACAAGAAAGCAGAGACACTGTGCTATGCTAGATACAAACTAAAAATTAAGAGTATCAATAATAATTAAAGACACATCATCTAGAGTAATCCAAAATCATTAGGAAGAAATTCTCTACACATACCAAAAACAGGAAGGTAGACAAATAGTTAGTATAACCTGTTTTGAAAATATGGCTCAAAGAAGCACTTGAAATTAAAAGGAAATAATAGAGAAATCAAATTAATTTCTTCCTAGAATCTTTGGAAAAAAGGATTGAAAAATTCACACTCCTAAACTGCATTTTTAAATGTTCAAAGAGTCATATAATAGATAACGCATATTGTACAAGATATAATTGACAAACCTGAAAATTTAAAGACACTCCAAGCGAAGAAAACTGAAGTTTATTGGTCAATGCAGACAAACACAAAATGCTACTACAAATTCAGACAGGTCCCAAGAGTCACTAAAGCTTATTTTTGTGAAAACAGGCTATACAGCAATGATAAAACAATCTAATACATTACTTCCCTCGAAATGAGATCCCCTCCAAACTCCCTGCATCACTGTTTTTCTAATTATCAAACTAAAAACTTGTGAGAGAAGATATGAAAATAGAACTTCAGTTAAAAGCTACTTTAAAGAAGCACAAGAAAGACGGTAAGCCAGGGAAAAAAGACTTAATATGAGGCAGAGAACAGCAAGTTAAGTCCAAAGAGAACTAAGGTTACACTAATTTATGGCCCAACTGTTGAAATGCATCTTATTTACTGTCAGTTTCCAATGTAGTATAAAAATGCACACACTAGTTAAATAAGAAGACCTGTCAAGCAACTCAGTAAAGCTAATATAATAAAATCCCAGAAAAGCAAACTCTTGTTCTCATTTGAGAGACTTTAAAAGTAACTTCCTGTTTGGTAAAAATTATAGGCAGGCT